TAGATTTGACTATGAGTGCTATACTTGATTTTATTTTGGGAAGAGCCTAGGAATAAGATGGTCGGAATTTAAAAAGTTGGTTAGAATGGACAGGTGCCGGCACCGAGACATAGAGACTGATGATTAAGATATCTACTAGTGCTAAAAAAAATAATAACAATAACACTAGAATAAATGGAATACTTTTTTTTTGTTTTTGGTAAACTGAATAAATGGAATACTTATCATCGAATAGAAAAGACATGAATAAGAAATTTAGTTTTTGTACAACATTTTAATAATGTAGCAAAGAAAACATTTACATGTATGTAACTAAAGCTCTTTGCAAAACTTTTTCTGCATTACAAAAAGTAAATATCTTTTTATAGTTCAGACTTCAGAGTGTTTATTTACATAATTCAAGATTTGTATATTTGTTTAACAATAACTTGTGATAGCAAAAAACAAGAGGTTATAAAATATTAAAATTGATGACAAAAAATAAAAAATTAAACGTAATGAAGACTTTTGTTTTCTCTTTTGCAAGATCCGATGCAATTCCACTGAGGATCAATTTTTTTATATATCTAATTAGATGTATAATCCACTTCATTCGTAAAAAGAAAACGAAAACATAGTTCTATTACCTTCATTTATTTTGTCACTAGTCACTACTGTCAATTTTTATTTATTTGCTTATTTTGTCGAAAACTTCTCTTGTTATTTTCTGTCCTTACTTTGTTGTATATGTGCAATTCATACCTTATCTCATACCTCAATATTCCTTCTTCTAATTTGTCTTTCGTTTGCGTTTCACGCTTCCTTTTGTCTAGTCAAAGATTATTATGTTTTATACACATAACACTACATATAATAAGATTTAAGATAGCGGATTATGTCCTTTGGTTTTCTATTAAGGCCAACGTAGATCGTCATTTATTAATATGGTAAACAACATCGTAGATTTAAACACTCCACCTTTTCGTTAAACACAAACAAAACCAGCTAGTAAAAACGAGATAATGTTCACATGCATGAACATGGATCCGATTTTTTTTAAAAGCGAGATAATGTATATTTTCCTCAAAATAATTAGAATTAGTAGTTTCCTTGTAAGAAAATGCACATATCGAAGTATACTACTCAAATCTACAAAATACTGGTCCAAGATAAAAAAAAAAAGTATAGCTACAAAAATTTATGTTCATCGACAACATAAGTGAAGATTTAACCAATAAAGTTGTGAGATCATTACTTAATAAAGCGCGAAAAACAGAACATTGAATCCTTAAAACTAAACGCCTTTTTCTTGATGTACATTTTATCAGTGAGAAGGGAAGTAATAGCTGAGATTGAAAGGCAAAGAGTAGAACTCTTCGCTTCTATTATCGGATTTGAACGATCTAAACCGTTTCCACCATACGCTTCCTCGATCTTTCTTCGTCGTCTTGTCCTTTGGAGGCAATGTCATGTCTAGAAAGAAGGCCAAAATCCCGGAAACAAACGCTTTAGACGAGAAAGGAACGTTTATCATATTGTTAAACTGCAAAAAAAAAACAGAGCAAATTCAGCATTAGTTTATCCGATGATATCGATGTTAAAAAGACGTGGTTTTTTAAAAGCGTTTTACCCATGTTTCGTTTGTGCGAACGGGTCCATAATACTCGGAAGTTGTGTACTGGTAAAAGTATTGAGGTATTGATAAGCCCATGAAGATGGAGAATCCAAGAATGAACTTAGTTCTGAAACTGTTTAGATTACAGAACTGGAGTAGACTTAGACCACCAGCACCTGCAAAAATATTTCGAATGTATATTGCGGTTCAAGAAAACAAACAAAATGGTTGTAAAAAGCTAAATGATGTTTTCAAGAAACGGACCAACATATGCAAAGAACAGGCAGTAAAGAGCTGCGACGATAGGAGCTGGAATCGAAGCAAAGATGGCTCCAAATTTACCTGGATTAATGTGAATTCAAATACACAGCTTCAGATATTGTTTACTTATGAGAAATGTGAGCTATAGGAGCAAGAGAGTCACCAAGAATGGAGAAGAAGATCATGAAACCGGCTGATATTTGAACTACTCTTCTGTTACCAACGCGTGTTACCGCCAACAAACCGGCATTCTCCCTACAAAGAAAGGCTTTCAATATCTTACAAAGATTGTTATTTTCGGATTAAGGAAATTTTAGCCTGTTTCTTGAGTCTTAAAGTGTCTTTACACAGATATAGATGTCGCATTTCCTGCTCCGAAGAGTCCACATAGAAGAATTCCAAATCCCTTGAAACAGAGAACCACATTAAGCATTGAGACATTTTGGAAGATCCAACAAAGAAAGATCGAGTCTTTTCCAAATTCATGGTGTTCTTTTTTTTACCTGCCAACCGATTCCACGGCTAAGCACGGAAGGTGGGATTGGCGTTGCACTTGCGTACCTCGATACAACAATGTATGTCCCTGTGGACTGTTCCATCGATCACAACAAGAATCAAACACACTGTGAAAGATATTTTTGCAATACAAAAGGCGAGAGAGATTTAGAGTTAACCTCGACAAGAGAAACGAAAGAAGCAGCCATCATAGCGAAAGCCTCCCCTGCATCAAAAGTTGGAGCTCCCCATTGAAAAGGGTAAGGCACTCTAATCCTGCATCAACAAGCTTAGCAATCAAAAACAAGTCTTGAGAACCAAAAGGATATAAGTTTTATGTATACCATGGAGAGGCGCTAATGAGGCCAGCGCTGTCAGTTCTGCAGCTAAGTTGAGTATTGATTCCTGTATGACGATAAGCCCCACCAATGGTGAGAATATGTGCAGAAAACCATACGATCACCACTGAGAATATCACAGCAAACCGGTGGAAGAAGATGGTATATCTTTCTGCTTGCATCAAATGAGGAATGTACTGCACACAACAACAAAATGGTTAAAACCAGTTTCCGTTAATGGTTTTTTTTTTAACAGAATACGTAAAGGGATAATACCTGTGTGAATGTGACAAGAAGTATGATCTCAGGCAGTCCAATCTCAATGCATTTGGCTAGCTGTAATGAGAAGTACACAAAAACTCAAGATCTTAAAAGTAAAAACAATACTCTAGAGATAAAAATATTTATATACACATACCACAGGGAATCCTTGTTCATAGAGTCCAAAGCCCGCAAGCGCGACAAGAGGAACCACAGATAAGGGACTCAAACACCTAAACAAGAGAACATTTTAGACTTGCAAAAGGCCATCATCAGGAAACAGAGGAATCTCTGTTTTATATGTATGGATTTTCGAACCTTACTACATTGCGCCAAATGCCACTAAAACCAACAAGGATCTGAAGTAACGAGGCAACGATAAGAGCACCTTGGATTCCACACATGATCTTCGCAAATTGCTGCATTTTCTCATCATGAAAAGACCACACTTTGAGTTCAATTAGTAACCAAATTAACCCAAAACACACATAGAGATGTGAATTTTTTTAAAAACTTCTTTCACAAACCTCCTGAGGATCAAGAATGTCACTGTACCGAGCAGCCAAGACTATTGAAACTGTGGTTGGCACATAGGAGTAAGAAGCTCCAATGACCGCGGGAAGACGAGTCCCAAAGAAGCTTTGTAAGAATGTATTGAGTCCAGACACAAAGAGCAATGTCTGAATCATCTTTGCCTTATCTTCCTGTGAATATCATTAATCAGAAGACAACATTGTTTGGAGATCAGAGTGTTATATGATTGTAACGATGATCTTTTTTGTGAAAAAAAAGACTTACATTTCTTCCATCAATCTTTGAAACTAAAAGTGTCGGAATGAGAACAGTCATTCCAAGCATCACCAAGTAGTGTTGAAACCCAAGAAGTATTGTCTCCGCTGATCCGGAAAACCAAAAGAAAAATTTATAAGTTAGTATAATCTTTAGTGGTT